CCACTTCCCCTTTTTTTGGTGGGGCCAGTGACAATTTGGTAGGGCAAGTAAAAATCTGAACCACTGGCCCAATCGGACCAGTAAAAAAAATCCTTAGCATTGAACCCTGCACTGCTAATAATAATAACATTACACAAAAACAAATTGTCATAAACTGAAAAAGCCCCCTGAGATGAAGGCATGAAAGGATGGTGTTTATATTTATGTAGGCTAGAAAATAATAATTTTTGTAATATTTTAATCCTTTAATTATTTTTATTTGTAAAGATATTTGCGTATTGCTGTACATCCTGTCTGTGTTAAGCAGTGTGTAAGCGAGGCGCACAACTAATGCGCTCTGCTGCGCTGGACTTTAGACCAGCTTTGATCTGATTTATTGAACAGTCTATTATAGTTTCTCAAAATAGCAAAGCTTTAGCAATGTGCCTCAACACACCTCCTTTTTTAGACCAGAACGCCTATGGGCGCACATTTGAGCGCAAATGCATTTGCTATGTAAACAGCGTGGAGCAAAACGTCAAAATGACTCTTGCACCAAGCTGAAACTAGCAAACAACAATTGTGTCGCGCCGGGTGTATGATAGGGCTCATAGTTTCCATTGATTGTTTAATGCAGAATAAGGGACAAAAGTTCCTTTGGAAAAGCTTTTTCCGAGAATGTTTAATGAAACCCTTGTAAATCATGGAACTCCTGAAACCCTCAGCATGAACACAGCCAATATACAGGTGTTTCTTTTTACACCGATTGAATGAGACTTCAGGGGTCAAACTGCATTTTCCCTCACCTCTTTCACCCCGAAACAAGCGCACACACAACACGGAACATCGTACTTTTGACTCCGAACACATCCTCTGTGTTCAGAGCCGTGACCTTGTCCTGGTAACAACCGCGTAAAAAATGTGACCCAGATGGTTGACTTGCTCAGGGTTGTCTGATTGAGCTGTAATAAGGGTCTCCAGCCCACCCACCTCCGCCAAATTGGGGAAAAAAAAGTCGACGTGGAAAGATGAAGAAAGTAAACTGGAAAACATTTTGATTGGATCAGGTTTCAGCAGCACCGCGGAGCGACTGCAAGCGGACACTTTCAAAATAAACTACCAGGCGAGGGAAAAGAGCAGACCCGAAACGTTCAAGCTAAAGTAACATCGCAGATAAATATGACAACCTTGCGATTTTAAGTGATTGACGTTTGTTTATTTGTGTGCTCGATTTGTTTGTTGTCCACAAGCAGAACACGTAAAAGTTGTACCGTGTAGAATCACAGAGCGAAAATGAAAACAAACCGTTCCCCCGCCTGTGGGTGTTTTAACGAACGTCACACGGGTTAAAACAAATCATGTGTTTTCCATTCATTTAAACAAAGCTTTGCACGTGAGCTGAGTGTGTTCTCTTGGGGTGTAGTGTCCTAAATATTTACCCAGCCATATAAAACACCCTCCTAATCACTATAATGTGTTTCCTCCACTGTGTACGTTTACAGACATGCAGGTTTCATTTCGAAGCATACCAACGTTTACTGCATTGTAACGCAGGGGTACGATTGACCTCCTGCACAAAACAACAAGCATATGAAGTTGATTACTAAAGTGATCTACACGCAGAGCCCCAGATCTCCGCCGGTTGTATGCTTCACAAAACATCACATCCAAACTCTGGTCACAATCTCAACAAGCGTGTTTATAGGCACATCATTTGACGATTAGGTTTCACAGTCTGGTTAAGCTTTTAAATCTGGGGTGGAGAGAGGGGACCAATTGCTGCGCGATGATCTGGAGAGCGTATAATTATCATAATCACTCGCACCTTAAGTTGCAGTCTTTCATTTGGACATACAGTTGAAGTCAAAACGATTGACCTTCTGCTAATTTAAATTTCTTTTTCAGATATTTCCCAAATGATCTTTATTATTTAGGAATTTTTCTGAGTATTTCCTATAATATTTTTTTTCTGAAAAAAAGTCTTTATTTTATTTTATTTTGGCAAGAATAAAAGCAGTTTTTAAATTTTTAAAGCAATTTTAAGCTCAAAACAGGGCCGGCCCTGTGCATTTGGGGGCCCTAAGCAGAATAATACTAACTTGCTCTAAATAGTGGAATATTGCCATTGTCGGTCCAAAATGATTTTATTGCTTAATAAATATGATCAATAAAACAAAAAGCTTGATTTCTTCTACTTACAATATTTTCTAGTGGCTTTGGTGCATTTCTCACAATACTATTTAACTTTGTTTAATTGCAGCAGGGCGACGCGGTGGCGCAGTAGGTAGTGCTGTCGCCTCACAGCAAGGTCACTGGTTCGAGCCTTTTTGCGCTCCAATTTCCAAAATAAATCAGGGATACACTGTAATGGGGCAGGCAATGACGTAAAGGCCATGATTAGCATTCTTGTAGTGACCGATTGGTCTTGCAGGTTATCTTGGAAGAGCAAACTCAGACCGCAAGAACACGAAGCATATGATTTTAAATGGAGCTGCCGCGAGGTTCCTGTTGATCATATGACCTTTGAACAGTTTCAAATTATAAATATTTGCAATTATAAATATATAAAGCACTGTCAATGAAGATAATTTGTAAAATGCAAAAAAAATGATTTCATATAGGGGGTCCTCTAGTGGTGGTGGGGCCCAAAGCAGCCGCTTATTTCGCTTATAGAGAGGGCGGGCTCTGGTTCAATTTTATTAGCCCCCTTAAGCAGTATTTGTTTTCGATTGTCTTCAGAAAACTGTTATACAATGACTTGCCTAATGAATAAGACTGGAATTCTCTAGCAAACAATATTCCAACAGCTGCACCCACTCTTACGTGCTGTCACTACAGATACACATTCTAATATTAACCATGTAAACAATGTCATTTAGATAAAGCGTAAAGATCAAATGATCATCCAAGGACCTGAAGCGTCCCAATCTGATGGATTGTGTCCATATGTGTGATGGTATGCTCATCTATACTCACTCACTATATTGACCAGCGATCCCTCACCTCTTTCATGTGGCGACAGGCTTACGCTCTGAAACTCTGCTCCCTGGCACTGATTCCTTAAAACAGCGGCATTCATACTGAGCCTGGTGTTGCAGAAAGGAAGACGTTTAGTGGAACTGGCCAGAATCCACAATATTAAACAGTAGATGGGATTGTGAAGCAGCAGGAGTAATCATGCAGGGCAGCAGGCCGCAGGAATGCAAATCATCCATGCCGCGAAAAACTTAAGTTAGCAGGTGGCCTCCGCTATGCACTGGACGTCAACACTCGTTTTAGCTCGGGACCACATAACATCTGGGTGCACCCTGAGCACTGCTTTCAATTAACACATGGAGACGCTCAGTTTCTGGCTCTTAAAGTTGCCATGAAAATTAAGATTGTGCTTTTTCCACTTGTTACTTAAATTAGAAAAAAAATGTAGGGTGGTGCATGATTATGTTCTTTTGGAACCGATTGGATTGTTAAAGAAGGGGTGTTGTTAAAGAATTAAGGAGGAATGACGAATGGACTAATTCAAAGTAAAAATTAGACCCCCTGATAGCCCCGCCTTAAATAACGGATAGTCCCACTCTAAAGAAATTATAGTCCCGCCCTAAAGGACTGATAGCCCCGCCCTAAATGCCTGATAGTCCTGCCCTAAATGCCTGATAGCCCCGCCCTAAAGGACTGAAATTCCTGCCCTAAATGACTGACAATCACACCCTAAAGGACTGATAGACCTGACCTAATGGACTGATAGCTCCACCCTAAAGGACTAATAATCACATCCTAACAGACTGATAACCCCGCCCCAAATGACTGATAGCCCTGCCCTAAATAACTTAAAGCCCCATCCTAAAGGATTGATAGTCCCACCCTAAAGGACTGATAACCCCGCCCCAAATGACTGATAGCCCTGCCATAAAGGACTGACAGCCCCACCCTGAATGACTGATAGTCCCACACTAAAGGACTGATAGCCCCGCCCACACTACAAAATGACTGATAGATCCACCCTAAAGAACTGATAGCCCAGCCTCAAATGACTGATAGCCCCGCCCCTAAAGGACTAATAGGACTAATAGGACTAATAGCCCCATCCAATGATAACTCCGCTCTAAAGGACAGATAGTCCTGCCTCTAAAGACTGATAGTCCCACCCAAAAGGACTAATAACCCCACCCTAAAAGAGTGATAGCCCCATCCTAAAGAACTGATAGCCCCGCCCTAAATGACTAATAGCCCCACCCTAAAGGACTCATAGCCCAAACTCTGAAGTTGGGGCTGGCGCGATCGTCATATAAGCGTTACCCAATGAATTTAGTCAGCAATAGGCCAGAGTCTGAGCTGGTGTATTTGCATACAGCGACCTGATTGGCTGATGCTTCCGTCCCCGCTTGAAAAGTTGAGCAAGTCCCAACTTTTGCAGGGAGTAACCCCTCTGATTTGGTGCCGACGGATCCACAATGCAGTTTGGCAACGCCTGACGTCAGCCATTCAAAGTAAAATATAGTGCTAGGATTTATTGGTATAAGCCAGTTCAAGGGGTGGTTTAAGATGTTTAGGGTTAAGTTAAAGTGTTGGTTAGCTAATAAAGTGGATTGCAAACATTTGTGTATTATTACCCATTTTTAGCTAGTGTTTTTGATTTAAAAATCTAGATAAGGCGTCACGGTGGCGCAATGGGTAGCATAATCACAGCAAGAAGGTCACTGGTTCGAGCCTCGACTGGGTCAGTTGGCATTTCTGTGTGAAGGTTGCATGTTCTCCTCGTGTCCGCATGGGTTTTCTCCGGGTGCCCCCCTACAGTCGAAAAGCATACGCTATGAGTGAATGAGCTAAAATGTTCGTAGTGTATGTGTGTGAATGCAAGAGTGTATAGGTGTTTCCCAGTGTTGGTTGTGCCTGGAAGGGCATCTGCTGTGTAAAAATACAAGCCAAAGAGAAAATGATTGAATGAATGAGTTCTAGCTTAGTCATGTACAACCTGCAACAAACACAATGTTGAGTAGACCGTGTTCGAGACAGACACAGAGAAATATATTGGAAAATAGATTTAATGACATACAAACATGGTTCTAAAACAATAAATGCAATATCTTCCCAAAAATATATTACTCAGAGTACAAATACAAGTGTGTGTGTGTATATAAGGAGAAAGAATATTTGATTTTGCATATCCACCCACTGACATCTACAGCAAACTAACATCATCAGTAACTGCGGGCTGCAATACTTTGGGCTGCTTGAGGAAATATGTACTACAGAGTCCTAAGACATTCTCAGTGCTTTTAAAACAATACTACAATGACTAAATTAAAGAAAAACTGTTTTGGTTTGCAAATTTCAATATGGCTGTTCTTTGTTTGCTTACATTTCTGTCGTACAATAGCAGCAGTTTTGTTTTTTGGAGTGGTCGCTGATGAATTGATGATGTCTTTGAAACAAAGGACGTTTATAAGACGCTCTCTAACTTTTTCACCTCATTGAAATACTCTGAGAGAAACAGCAATGAGCCATGAATGTGTGGTGAGAGTGGTAACCAGGTTATAACTGAACTACATCTTATAACAAAACAAAGCCAAATAAATAAGAGGAATTATGAGCTAATATATACATAATACTGTACATCAAATCTCAAAACTATTTCTCTTGATATGTTCTTAAATCCAGCAATACGACACCGTCTTCTCTCAGTGACACCCACAGGACCGCACCACCATATTCCTGTACTTCTTCAGAATAACATTGGAGCTGTCGTCGAAATACAGCACAGAGATGGCGTTCAGTTTGGTCGGAGCACAGCAAGGCTTTGGCACGTTATCCGGAAACATCAGATGGACCTACGATGAGGAAAAACAATAGTGCGTTTAGTCTTTATTAGCAATCATGTGCATATATAGAATGACCCAGTAGTGCACAACACAATTCAAAAATTAGTTCACAACACTATGGAAATAAGCCAAAACACGCAAAACAAACAATTTCCCATTCCCGTTATGTTGTGCCAATTCTTCTATATTGAATTCATAACCATTTTTCTCAGAAAACTTATTTCTAAAGGGGTCGTTGACATGAAAACTTTCCCTGGATGTTGGTAACAACCAAAGAAATCTGTATATGAAAAGACAACAAATCTAAATTATTTGTAATAAAATTTAATGAAGCAGGGAAAAAGAATAAAACACATGAAGAAAGGGAAATGTAAAAAGATATGGAAAGCCCAGACAGCAGCTGAAATCTCTCTAGTAGTTCTTCAGCAATCCTTTTCCTTTGCTCAGTGTCAATGAATATCAGCTGAAGTCCAACATCTACATCAGCAGGAGGATGAAGATGAAACCAGAGTAGACATTAAAGCAAGACAATGATCCAAAACACAGCCAAGGAGACTCTCAGATGCTTTCAGAGAAAGGAAATCAAGCTGTAGAACGGCCCAGCCAATCACCTGATCCGAATTCAATAGAGAATACAAAAAAAAAGGCCCATATTTCACAGACGAGACCAACAGAACCATCAAGATAGTGGTTTCTAAATTTACTTTCACTTGCATTTCATCGCAGACAATACAACAAACATTATGTGTTGCTCGTGATTTTTATAGTCTTTTTGTTTCCAAAATAAACACGTATTCCAGTTTCGGTTCCTGCAACCCATTTCTAAAACGGTAGAGCATTTACCACTCTGTAATGTTGCCAATCCTATTCGCAACACTTAAAGTTAAAGTACTTGGTCTTCGTTACGAAATGCGCCACACATTCTCTATTGGACACAGGTCAGGACTGCAGGCAGGCCAGTCAAGTATCTGTATCCTCTTCCTCTACCGCCAGGACTTTGTAATGTGTGCAGAATGTGGTTTTGCATTGTCTTGGTAAAATATGCATTGAGCATCCCTGGAAAAGAAGGCAGCATGGTGTGCTCCAAATTCTCTATGTACTTTTCAGCATTAATGGTGCCATCATAAAAATGCAAGTTACCTTTGCCAAGGGCAGTGACACGACCCCATAACATTAAAGACCCTGGCTTTTAAACTTGTTGCTGGTAACAGTCTGCATCCTCCTTTGGTCCAGAGCAGACAGCGTCTATTCCACCCGAAATACCTGAAATACTGATTCATCTGAGCGCAGTATTCACTGTGTGATGGTCCATTCCAGATGCTTCCGAGCCCAGAGAAGACGACCGTGCTTCTGGACACTGTTAACATAGGGCTTGCTTTTGGCACAGCACCGTTTTCACTGGCATTTGTGGATGTAACTAAGTATTGTGGTACTTGAAAAAGGTTTGTCGAAGTAGTCCTGAGCCCATGTGGTGATGAATGACGATTCTTGATGTAGGATTGGAGATCAGGATTGTTCAGCTTAGGCTTGCGCCCTTGCCCTTTATGTACTGAAATTCCTCCAGATTCTTTAAATCTTTTATTTATGTTATGCACTGTTGAACTATATTTTTACAGTGTATTTTTTTAAGATTGTACTTTTAGGGCAATGGCTTTATACAATTTGACAACCAAAATCTATTTCAAAAATCTTAAAAGAAGCTTCAAATGCTTGTAGTGGTCAATCTTGTAGTCGTAGAACTTGAGTAGTTCTAGTGTTAAAAACAGGCACTTACCAAGGTCTGCACAATGGCATGATTCGTGGCATTCATATGTGCGTTCAGTGGAAATGAACATTCTCCATCACAGTAAAAGGCAGCGTAGCCTTCTGGAGCAATAATCCAGTCCTGAAACGAGAGACGGCCAGAGATGAATTGTCTGAATTCAAGCGCCCCGTAATCGACCAAACCCTAGCGAGTGTTTACCTGCCATCCCAGATCCCGGAAGCTGACGTAGAGTTCGTGTTTCTTGCAGGCTTGCCTCTGTTCACTGGTGTTCTGATCTAGATAACGGCACAAAGCGGATGTTGAGTGTTCAGACACTGAAGCAGTGCTGGTGTTTAGTCTAGGAGTGTGTGTGGGCTCACTGTGCTCTCTGTTTGCAGCTGCCACCATCGCTTTGTATACAGACTCTGAATGAAGTAAATACTGTGATTTCGGTCATACATTCACCAAACATCAGGTAAGCTCTGCAGGTACAGTGGTCCTGATCCTTGCGATACCACGCTCTGTATTTTTTGTATGTATTTCTTACCACTTCAGAGGTTTGTTCCAATCAATTATAAGTGCCCTACAAAGTGAACATATGCTGCCATGATTGCAATTCGACAGAAGCATGTTCAATGGGTATTAAAGCGTGCAAGATGTGACTTATGCAAGTCTCATGATTACGTTAAAAGGAGCAGTATGAAACTAGATATTGCAATCCAACTGCAGGTTTAGGCCTAATCCCAATTCTATTTTTCTATCCCTACCCCTTCCACTTGGCCCTTGAAACAGAGTGTGAACAGGAAGGGCTTCAAATCTACCCCTAAGAAATGGGACAGCACTACAACACCTGCACACATCATCAAATGTCATCACAAGCTCTTACTTCATACGAGTTTGACGACGGCAACTGTTGTAGTTATTCCAGTTGCACTATTTTTGTCTTCAGGAAATCACCAAAGGCAACGATATCATTCATTCATTTTCTTGTCGGGTTAGTCCCTTCAACAATCTGGGGTCATCACAGCGGAATGAACTGCCAACTTATTCAGAACGTTTTTACGCAGCGGATGCCCTTCCAGCTGCAACCCATCCCTGGGAAACATCCACACACACACTCATTCACACACACACTCATACACTACGGACAATTTAGCCTACCCAATTCACCTGTACCGCATGTCTTTGGACTGTGGGAGAAACCGGAGCACCCGGAGGAAACCCACACGAACGCAGGGAGAACATGCAAACTCCACACAGAACGCCAACTGAGCCGAGGATCGGACCTTCTTGCTATGTGGTGGCAGCTCTACCTACTGCGCCACTGCGTCGCCGGCAACGATATCATGTAATCCTAACTACAGAACGTGGGAATAAGCTCGTAAACTGTACTGCGTATTTACACCGTAGCCATATTTGCATTCATAAACACAAGAAAACAACATTAACGTTATACCAGACACTGCAAACAGCTCATTCCCAGCCACTACACTTTTCTAACAGGGGATTGGTGTGCCATCGAGTGACAGATGTGAAAGTATCTTGAAGGACTACTATACAGGAGTTATTATTGTGGATTTTAGATAATTTTAGCCAAATTTAGCAGGTGTTTTGTAATTTTTTTTTTTTTTAAGTATGACCGTAAACAACGAAGACTTTCGAATATATTAAAGTACTGTGTGTTTGTTGGTTATAAAAACTCTTAATAATGATTACTTAAATCTGTGTGTCTCGCAGCCATGTTGGCGTTGTAGCTGCTGTTTTCTGGGAAATTTTAGTACCCCTTGGTTTCTAGTGTAGTCCTGGAAAGTCTCCATTTCAAGGGCTATCCAGCCCTTCCCCTTAGCCCTACGACTTCAAGCTAAAGTGAATTAGGACACTGCACCCCTTTCATGGATGAACAAAATGAGGGATAGGGGTAAGGGGAAGGGCTAAGGGGTAGAATTGGGATTGGCCCTAATTTTTGGTACCCAGCCCTTCCTCCTCTAACTTGACGCACACAAAGGTTGCTAAATCGATGACACCAATAGGGCACAAGGATGCCTAAAAATCAAACCTTGCACTGTAAAGCCGATCAGCAAATATTTACATTTATAAATCTGAATCTGCGTCTGCGTTTTGGAGGCTGCTAGTATCTTCTCGAGGTCACAGTTTCAGCCTTCATGCCTGAAATGAAGTACACTGTTTTCCACCAAGGCAACCAAGTGTGCTGAAATATAAATGGTTAAACTGGCAGTCGGCTGGTTATAGAGATCAAAACAAAGAGCGGCATTTTAACACAGATCGCACATATTTTAAAGGAGAATAAATGGCAAATTTTTTAGCCATTCGTTAAAAGCATTTAGATGCTTTTGTTTCTTGAATATCTGCAAATATTACGGTATCTTTCTGATTTGGAAGAGTCAAAAACGTTCATTTATTTTCCTTCGGCTTAGTCTCTATTTCAGGGGTTGCCACAGTGGAATGAACCGCCAACTATTCCAGCATATCTTTCACGAAGCGGATGCCCTTCCAGCCGCAACCCAGTCTTGGGAAACACCCATATACACTCATTCACACACACTACGGACAATTTAGTTTAGTTAATTCTCCAATGCCGCATGTGTTTGGACTGTGGTGAAAACCCACACCATCCCGGAGAAAACACAAGGAGAACATGCAAACTCCACACAGAAATGCCTGGGACTTGAATCAGCGACCTTCTTGCTCTGAGGCGACAGTGCTAACCACTAAGCCACCGTGCTGCCCAACTTGCATAAAGCACCTTTAAAATAACCCGTCACACTTCTGTAAACAGCAGTGCAAATCTTTGGCAGATCTTGAAGTATACTTAATTTAAAACAGAGAGGAAAAGAAGGAGACGACAGAGAGGTGTGAATACTAAGTTGTAGGGATGGGGAGTCAACTCCAAAAGAGTCAATTCCTTGACTCTCAATGGACCTAGTACCTAAATCGACTCCCAGAGTCAAGTCTGACCTGAACGAAGCGGATACATGCTACAGTTATATGCTCTTTCTCGAGTATGATGAATATAGAAGGCACTCGCTTTGAATGCGTGTTCACATGTTTTATGCTTTTGCATTTCGCGACCATGCATATTTTTAGCTATTATAAATGGTGCTGCAGAATGAAGTTTGCTTTCGATTTCAAATTCCTATATAACACACCTTTTTGCAATTTAGTTTTAAAGATGATCTGCCTGTGATGTCAAGTTTGCTGTGTTATAAAGGAAATATAGCATACGTGTGCACATTTGGAGCGGATCGGCTTCTTACATAAGCAGGTAAATTTATGATGTAATAATAATAATAATAATTCCTTACATTTATATAGCGCTTTTCTGGGCACTCAAAGCACTTTACACAATGGGGGGAATCTCCTCATCCACCACCAGTGTGCAGCATCCACCTGGATGACGTGACGGCAGCCTTATTGCGCCAGCCCTTACACCAGCTGATTGGTGGAGAGGAGACAGAGATGAAGCCAATTGGAATATGTGGAGGGTTAGGAGGCCATGATGGATCATGAAGTGGGCAGATTTGGCCAGGATGCCAGGGTTAAACCCCTACTCTTTTTCGAAGGACATCCTGGGATTTTTAACGACCACAGAGAGTCGGGACCTCGGTTTAATGTCTCATCTGAAAGACGGCGCTCCCTAAGCAGTATAGCATCCCTGTCACTATACTGGGGCATTGGGACCCAGACAGACCGCAGGTTGGGCGCCCCCTGCTGGCCTCACTAACACCACTTACAGCAGCAACCTAGCTTTCCCATGTGGTCTCCCATCCAGGTACTGACCGGGCGCAGCCCTGCTTAGCTTCAGTGGGCGACCATGTGAGAGTTGCAGAGAGAGAGCTGCCGGTATGTTATGTTATTGGTTGTTCAAGTAAAAATATTTATTTATTATTTAACAAATAAATAAATATTAATCATAATGACTAGATTTATTTATTGACAAAATCTGACAATAGATATTGTTTTTTTTTTGTTTAGTTTTTTTGGCCCTGGATGCACTTTCAGCTCTAATATTTAGGCTATTTTTGTTTATTTTGTAGATAATTACAAATTACATACATTAAAATTAAGATGCAATTAATAACAAATGAAATTTGTTTTAAAAAGAGGATTTTAAAAGAAAAAATATAGCCAAGGCAGTGTTCTGACTCACTCCTCTTCTTCCGGCATATGCCGTTCTATTAACACAACCTTGTATAATTACAATGAACATATTGCACAAAACTTATTTAAAAGTACACTTTATTATAAAATTATATTTACAGAGACAGAGATTCCACTGTCTCCACAATTAGAAGTCGAGAATTAGAATCGACTCCAAAAAACCCGGAACCGAACACCCCTACTATAGGGAACATGCCAATCGGAACACAGTTCCTGCATTGAGATGTCTTCTATCAAGTTGGCTATCTAAATCAGTTGTGAAATGAAGCCGATGTATTGCTGGAAGTTCAGCTAGCACTGCTTGCACTGAATGTGAGTGTTTTAGAATACAGTAAATCTCCACTGTACCTCCGCTTTTGAGAGCTGGTGTTGATTTCGCTTGTGTTTTGCTTTTGTTTCTGTTGTGGCTCTTCTTCTTGCTTCCCGTGGCTCTCACAGAACGAAGCAAAACCTCGCTGGCTTTGAAAAAAGCCACCAGGAACGGCTGTTTGGACTGAGGTCCGTTCCTGCCGATGATGCCAGCAGATTTCATGTTGATGCTTCTACCTGGAAAGCAGACGGATGTTTGCATCTGATTACAGAGATCCGCATTAGTCAAACAGCCACGAGTGAGACACGGAAACCTCTTCTTGGGTGGTGGAATCATCACAACTGTGTATGACAGGTTCTACAGTCCACACACACAGATACCGTAGTGATTGTCTACATGTCAAAGTGAGCTGAAAAACGATCTTGAAAAGCAGGCGACTTCACAGCATCAGGTTCCCATTTAAGAAAGAGGAAAAACTGGGTGTAGCCGTGACTCAAAGATGATCCTTTTGTGAAGTCTCACATCGGTAAACGTGTCTGTTTTTAGGCTGAAATAATGACTATGTGAAAGGAAAATGAAAACAGCTGCACTTTATGGTTCTTATTTCCAGTAAAAAGGGAATGCAACAATAATTAAAACAATATCGCTCTGTCTAAAATATTATAGTGCCTTCAAAGTGACCAAATGGTTATCATTTATTAAATTCCCCAGCAAACGAACCCCTACCGAAAAAACAGCTTAAACCAGCCTAGGCTGGTTGGCTGGTTTTAGCTGGTCGACCAGGCTGGTTTTAGAGGGGTTTTGGCCACTTCCAGGCTGGTTTCCAGCCATTTCCAGCCTGGTCTTAGCTGGTCAGGCTGGGAGATGACCAGCTAAAATCAGCTTGACCAGCCTAGCCAGGCTGAGAGCCCAGCTAAAACCAGCTATGTCCAGCTTAAATCAGGCTGGTCAAGATGGTTTTAGCTGGATTTAGCTGGTCATTTTCCAGCCAGACCAGCTTAAACCAGGCTGGAAATGGCTGGAAACCAGCCTGGAAATGGCCAAAACCCCTCTAAATCCAGGCTGGTCAACCAGCTAAAACCAGCCAACCAGCCTAGGCTGGTTTAAGCTGGATTTTTCAGCAGGGACAACATGGAGTAACGTTTATCTGGCAGATGTACCATTATAAAATAATATTAAATATAAAACACATCCCATTTTCCAGTATATTTAATCTCATTTCCCATTCACTGACTAACTCAGGGATGGGCAAACTTGATCCTCGAGGGCCGGTGTCCCTGTAGAGTTTTGTTCCAACACTAGTCAAACACACCTGAACAAACTAATCAGTGTCTTCATAATCACTTGAACTCTATAATGAGGTTTGTTTGAATAGGGTTGGAGCTAAACTATGCAGGACACCGGCCCTCCAGAATCAAGTTTGCCCACTCCTGGACTAACCCCTTAACCATATGATGCATCATTAGAGAAATTAACTATAGTCCTTAAAACTATCTAGGTAACTAGAAACTATAGTTATCTAGAAACTCATTCATTAATTTTCCTTCAGCTTAGTCCCTTATTTATCATGGGTCTCCACGGCGGAATGAACCGCCAACTATTCCAGCATATGTTTTACACAGTGGATGCCTTTATAGCTGCAACCCAGTAGTGGGAAACACCTATACACTCTCTCATTCTCACACACACTCATACACTATGACCAATTTTGGTTACCCAATTCACCTACTTTATAGCGCAGGGGTGGCCAGTCCTGTTCCTGGAGATC